TACCGGAAGTATTTAAATGGAAAAATTTGCTTCATGTCTCGACATCACCACAAACCAACCAAGACATGCAATAGACTTGCAACTTCCGTCCTCAGGCGACAACGACTGCAACAGTAGCTGCATCTGCAACCATAGCTGCAAGTTTGAAGTGTGAAGTGCTAAAATATAAACAAAAGCACCACATGGAGAAGTGAAGTGAAACAACAAAGCTGCTGCTTCCAATAAAACGACAAACACAACCAGGAACAAGGAAGAACCAGCACAACAAGGATGCGTACAAAACCTCAACACATTTTCCTACACAATTGCTTTCAAGTATTTCTGACAGGGGAAAAACATTTCACTTACGTCAACAAAACTCAAAAACGAACGTTATTTTCACTAAAAAATTCGCACTGCAAAATAGTGGCACGCATCAAAAACTGCACAAAAGTCTAGAAAACCAAAGGAGCATGAAATGAAAGGGATTTCAAGAATTTCATAGTCACACACCCGCGCAGAAGTGTTTTGTTACCGTTGCTGACTTGATTGCGAACCGCAAAGTAGCAAAACTCACAATTGCACCAGCAGCTGCCAACAGCAGCATCAACACCAGGAATAACAGGAATAACAGGACCAACAGCTGCCAAGCCAGGAACTGCAAAGCCAATGCAACTGTTTTGGCACTAACAGAATACGAAATAACGGAGACGAGAAGAAAATCGTTGTTTAGGTGCAACAATGTCGGCGGCAAAAATTGTAATGGCAGCTACAATACAAGGATGCAGCTGAATTGTTGAAATAGAGTAAATCTAACATTTCGCTATGCCACAACTATCCTGTCTAGAAACGTGGTAAGTAACTCGTGCTCCGGTTGCAGCCTATTCAGCTAAGCCAAACCGCCGTAGACAAACATCAACCAACAGTTTTCTGCGCACACTTCACTTCCGAGGAAGTGAAAAGATGAGCAGCAACATAAGCAAAAACAAAGCAAAAACAAAATAAATGGCAAAAGGATATTTTAACTTTTACGTGTGCAAACGATTTTAAGCCAACTTCTGTCTGCCATTCTGTGGCTTAGAAGAAATGCAGTGAGCAGACAGGCAGACAATCCGGGCATTAAAAATGTTTCAAATTTTTGCGGCATTCATATTAATATGCAACATGCACTGAATCATCATTTCGTGGAGTAAGTTGCCAGCAGTGGTTTAGAGACATCCTTTGACATATTCTTATGTTTGTGGCATGACTAATTCAATCAAAAACATATCCCATTGAATTGAAAGAAGTTTTTATCAGAAAAGCTCAACTTAATTGAATTTATTTTGATTGTGTGTAGTGACTAATAACTATTGTCAAAATTTACTAATGCAAATATGCAAAGTATAACTACGAATACTTTATTAAACTGATATATAACCTAATAATTCGTCCGTCACTTCTAATTGGTTATGTAGCGTTTAGCAAAGCTTCAAACACTACTATTCGCCAGCTAGAAATTGCACAAATCCAGGCTCTGAGAAGACTTTTCAAAGTACCATGGTATATTAGGACGAATGACATCTTCAGGAACCTCAAGATTGATCCCATCAAAAAATAAATAAAGAATAGAATCCTGAAATTATTTGCGAAAACTGACAGACTTACCAACACCTCGTTATTAAATCTCAGAATCGTTACAGGCTCCTCGGGGAGGTATGCCGATCTGAGTTCAATTATTGCTTAGTTTGATAAAGTGATAAACAATAATCTAATCAATGCATAAAGAGGGGTTTTGAAAATACCTCGAGTTAAGAAAGAGCAAAAGTGCTCAAGTGCACTGGCTCATATAGAAATAAATAAATAAGCTAATATACTCACATAAAATATAGTAACTTGATTTTAATTCTGGAATTCCGAATTTTCTGAATGAATTTAACGGGATTATTAACTGGTTATGCCAATATTTAGGACTGTTATAAATAATGTAAACCGATTTGAATAATACATAAGTACTCTTAAATAAACAATAAAATATAAGAAGGTTTTACACTAGTTGGGTATGTGATTGACCCTCTATAAGAAATACTAAGGACAGCAGTCAGAGAAAATAAATGGTCGGTAAAATATATATACGAAATAATAAGTGAATTTTTACAATAAAGTTTTCATTTTACTTACTTAAAGCTAATTCAATGGCAGATGTTTATCGTAATCGAACAATATTTTACAAATATGTTCAGATCCTTGCTTACGCCGACGACTCCGTATCATCGGGCTGTCTTTGCTGCTATCGAAAAGTAATCTACAAAAATGAGCTTAACGATGAATGTGAGCAAATTGTGGTATATGTCGACTACTGATAGAAATATGAGATGCTCGGATCCCAAGCTAGTGGCTAGCTACTATGCTTTCGAATCTATCAAGAATTAAATCTATCTTAGCGCCGCCATGAAAAACAACAATGATATCAGCCTGGAGATCACATGAAGAACTAAAGTTGGTTATAGATTTTACTATGGGCTAAGTAAGCAATTAAGATGTAGAGTTTTTCCCTCTCGATAAACAAAACTTGTACTGTTTAGGTTACTCATACTACCTATGCTTCTGTATGGGGCAAAAGCAGGGACGTTATTATGGGATGAAAAGTAGCACTGGCAGCTTTCGGGAGTTCTTCGTAAGATTTTTGGTAACCTATGAGTTGACGACGTATCCGTATTTGAATGAACCACTACCTGTAAGAGTTTTATCACGATATTGATATAATTCAGCGAATTAACATTTAGCGACTTTGATAGCTTTGTCATCTGATGAGAATGAATAAGGATGATCTAGCATATTTGAAGCCGTAATTGAAAAAAAAGTGTAGAAGTAAACCATGTCTCTGGTGGACTGATCTAATTGAAGACGCCAGAAGAGTCTTATTGTACCAGTTTCACTATTGATTACACAAAGCCACTTAAATCTAGAGAAGAGTTCTTAATCTGTTTTGATTACAGAAGTTCCAAATGAAACAAATTTCTTCTGAGCGTTATTAAAGCCGGGCATTCACAAATAGCAGATAGTTGTAGTAGTTGTAGTTGTAGATAGATGTAAAGAAACCCGTTAGCAAACTTAAATTATATTTTGAGAATTTAAGAATGTCTTTGTAGGAGTACTTTTTATCTTAAAAGTAATCTTATCTTATCAATTTCAAAACTTTAATTAATTTAATTAATTAAATAAATTAATTAAATTAATTTAATTTAATTAATCCATTTTGGAAAACGTGTTTTTTCCAAATTTTTTTCTTTTGGAACCTACATTCATTACAGTGGCAATTTTAAAGAAGATTTTGTTGGAATCACGAAAACTGTAATAATTTTTTAATCGTTGTTTTTAGAGCAAATACCATTTATAAACGAAACTGAAAAATAATTGCTTCAACTGTAAACGTTTTGTACTAAAATTTTTCTCTACATAATCCTTGACATAGCATTTTTCAATTTGAGTTTCTAAAAAAAAACGTATTTTTTCCCTTTACAAAGGTTCAGTTGCCAAATCTCTTCAAACGAAGATTCTTCACTGGAGATATGTGTACATCAAGTGGTGGTGTTGTTGACTTCAGACTTGGAAACGAACACAAATTAACAAAATCCTTGCAAATTGCACGAAATTCGAATGAATGAAATATTTCCGCCGGTACCGCCGGGTTAAATGTCCTCAGTGGTTTTATTTCGGTTTGTGAGTCGAGTTTCATTTACCGGAAAAAATCCACACAAATTCAAAAATGAATCGTGCTATCAAATAGGCTTGGTTACTAGTGGAATTTTTTTTTTTTATTCAAAAAAATTTCATATTAGCGTCAAAGATATTTTAACAGTTACAATTTATCTAGTTATAGTCAAAGATAAATATCCAAATAATAAATGAAGATAAATATTTTAAAAAAATTTTATTCCGGATGATTTATTTTGTCGTGGTAAATAACAAATCTGTTATTTGTATATTTGTTCTGAAAAATAATCCACATATACTTTAGTAAAATAATTATGATTATTTTGCATATCATTAATCTCATCATATCATATGAGGTATATAGTCGTTTCGTTCTTAAAAGTACTAGTGTTGTAGGGTTCTTCTGTTAGCAATAATACAAATTTTCTACTACAAAAGTAATATCTTAGTAGTTAAGAATAAAAATATTAGTACTAAGTAGTATTAAGTAGGGAATACTGTGCATTACACTTATCGTAGTTGTCTTAACTGATCTCTTGGCTTTTAAACAACGTGATCATTTTGTCTTACTCCATATGCTTCGTGAGTCCACTTAAAATATATCCAAACGTTTCAAGGGCCATTTAATAGAAGAAAAAAATTGATCTTTTAGAGATTAACCTGCAGTTCGTGTACTTACTGAAGTACTAACGAGCCACTGTGCCATCGCATAGTGCTTCAACGATGCTTCAACAAGTGGATAATGCAGAAGTTGCCAAGTTGAAGATGAGGTGGAATCTATCAACCACTTTCTGTGTCTCTGTCCAGGACTAAAGACAAGGCGACTTCAATATCTTCGGGATCGCTTTTTCACTGGCTTGCAAGAGATAATGAAATCAAACTTATCGGATCTCCTCAACGTCATCTGGAAAACCAAATGGTTTAACAAGACTAACAAGGATTAGCAACTCGCCTCTCCCGGCATAATTTTTGATGGCATCACAATGGACAATATATGCTTCTGAACCTAACCTAATCTAGAGATTAATCTGCGAACTGAAACCCTATCATTTAGAGGTTTTTTGAGACAACGTTTGATGGGTTTCTAAATATAGTATTTAATAGATTGTTAATGGATTGCAATAATAAACAATATGTGCTACATAAGAAAGTAAATATGTACGAGTATTAAAAAAATAATATAATTTGAATCTACCGAGTATTATTACAATATGTAACTTTCTTCTTTAAACTGAAAAATAGTTTAACAAAGTAAGCTTTCTCTCCAAACTATAAATAATAATTCATTTTAAATAAAATTAATTTTTTTTTACAGGAAACATTTTTTTTATATATTTCTTTTCTGACTATTAAATTTGAAGCTGGCTCTTTGAATAAAAATAATGCATTTATTAAGATTTCTCCAATTACTTCAATAGTCTCAGAGCTAAAGAAGTAGTAACTACTACTAACTACTGTTAAAGAAGAGGTAACCCGATAAATAACTGAGGGAATTTTCCAGATCAGTCAATTTCAAAAATATTTGTGCAAGGTTTTTATAAATAATTTCAATGAATGAATATATATATATTTATATTTATATATAATAAATATTTATTTTCAGTTTTAGGTCTTTTGAGTAAGAAAATGAACAGCAAACTGCGTCGCTTTCAGAATGAGTCAGTTACCAGAGCTTATAACCAAAATGTCCTAGATAAGAATTGGTTTGAACAGAGATATGCTGATAAACCAAACCCAAAAGGTATAGTTCCTGGAATTACAGAAGAAAATTCGTATATAAATGATTTTAAAACAACACATCGAGAACACTTCCGCCCCTTCGAATTACCAGAAAAAATTGATGAATACGAAAATTTCAAACTAAAGAAGCGTATTAGAACCTATAAGCAATGTGGAAGTAGTACAAGTATTTGTAATATAGCCAGTGATCATGATTTACGTAATTCTTCATCTAATCAAAATATGTGCTATCAGCCATCAAGAGTGGACAGTGTTGAAAAATTATTTAAATAGATGTCATCACGAAATTTTTATTGCAATGTAAAAATTTTCGTTTGATCCACAAAAACAAGAAAAATTACAAGGATAATACGACATTATTGCTTTATTTCTTTTACGAAAATTAAAGTTGAATATAAATTTATAAATAATTAAGCAAAATGTTTAAGAAAATCTTAAGCAGTTATTTCGATATTAAAAAATATATTTTCTGGTATTGCTAAAAATACATCTATAAATTAACTACTAAACTAAATAATTTCTTTTTTTAAAATAAGATATAATTATATTACACTAGTCAGTAACAATTACTTCATTATTAAGTATAAAAAAAATATGGTTTATTTATTTATTAAGGAAAGAATGTGCAATAATTAATTTATTAAAATAGAATGTCATTTGATACTTCGTATTATACTCTTATTGGTTGTAAACTTTAAACTATATGAGAATTATATACTAGTGAGAGATAAAATTTAAAAAATGTTTTTGACTTACTCTAAAATGAAGTATATAATTCTCATCTTATTTAAATGTACTAACAAATAAGTGTTGATTAAAAACACAATGCGGACCAATAATTTTAATATTATTAGAACAATATTATTTATGATTACATTAGTCTTATTGCAACTATATTATTATTACTACAACAATATGTGAATTTTATTTTACTACGGTTATATTTGAAGAAATTATTTGATCATTTTGAAACAGTTTTAATGTATTTAGAGAAGATACTCTAATATGAAAATATTACGAAAAATAAAAGATTTGTGAAACCTACTTTCAATTTCATAATATAATTTTAAAATCGTCAAATCAACTTCTTATAGGTTTAGACTTTTAACAGCCCTTTGATTTCATCAATTTTAAAATAATTAATAATAGTGTCATTTGTTATGTAAAGTTAAAAAACATTTTGTGGCAGGCAGAAACAATGAAGAGGTTATAATTATGGACTCTCAATGTCAGAATATACATATGTAAGATAAGAAGATAAGAATCAACGGAGTACTAGCTCCCACTTGAGTAGAGCACTACAACCATGACTTATCTTTTGTACTACAACAGACCCTAACTGAACAGAAGACATTCTGCCTTCCGAATGAAGGCTGAAATGTCTGCCGTTGAGGACTTCCTAATGTCGGAAGATGAGACCCAGTGACCTCCCCCTGGCACAGATCAAGGCTGTGGCTGGATGTCTTCTCCGCTTCTAAACAGAGTCTACACTCTATCTCTTCGAACCGACCCATTTTGTTGAGGTGGTAACGTAGTCCGTGGTGACCCGTTAGGTATCTCACCAGCAATCTCAACTCTGTTCTGCTAAAGAAGGATACCTTATTATAACTATAGGGGTGAATCAGCATAAATCAATGACAACATAATCCCATACAAAGTGATTGTGTGACGGTTAGTCATACGAACCAGGGGGCCAGCTAACAGGACCACTTCTGGAAATAAAGTTGCTACCAAATTGATTTCGCCATAAATCGATTGTTAAGTGTGCTGTATAGAACCAAATATCGAAATTTGTTGGAACCAAATATCGTCGATAAACATTTAGTCAGTATAGCGTGATAGAAATCGCCATTCACTGTAATGATAGCTCCATTTTCATTGCGAAATAAATAGGAATCGATGATGCCGCCACCGTGCAAACATTACCAAACAGTTCATTTGAATGGATGTAATGGTAATTCTTTACCGTCTTTAAGATCATCTTCGCTCCATATATGACAACTTTGCTTATTGATGTACCCAAAGAACTTCTTCATTTAACACAATTCTTTGAAGAAGTGCTCTAAGAAATTCCCAAACAGATTTTTTATATATTTTTCATAGTGAATTTCCACATTTTGGAAGCGTTGTTCTCGCGTTAAACGATCTATAAGGAATTGCAACTGAACACAAATGTCAACACAGTTAGAAATTCTTCTGCTTTCAATTATTAAAGGAATATTATTTATAGAAATAAAGTTTCATTTTATTTCCGTCTTTACTACCGAATGTGTAACACATGTTTTACCTTTTATTATTTAACTATTATTTGCAATATGAATGTCACCACAGAATGATAAAGTAGCGCTGGGAGTGTTCGAGAGAAAAGTTCTTCAAAAGATCTTTGATCCTCTACGAGTTGGCGACGACTACCACATACGAATGAACCACGAGTTGTACAAGCTTATTCACGACATTGATATAATTCAGTGAATCCAGCAATAATCCAGCGACTCCACTGGCTTGCTCATGTCGTGAGAATGGATGAAGATGCTCCAACTAAAAATTTGTTAGAAGCAGTAGTTGGCGGTAGATGACGTAGAGGTAAACCGTATCTCCGGTGGAGTGATCAAGTTAAGGGAGTACTAACTAGACTTGATGTACGATACTGGAGAAGGCGTGTACGCAGCAGAGGCACCTGGAGAGATATGCTGCGTCAAGCCGAAACTCGATAACGGATTGTTATGGCCAAATAAGTAGGTAGGTAAGCATTATTTGTATCAGTTATCGATATCGATAGTTCTTATGCAGCTAAGAAAACATCCGATAAGTGCTTGTTAACTTCACTAAATAATGAAATAAAATTGAGGGAACAATTTGTTAGAATCCCGCTGTTTAAATATGTTAAATGTAATAAAAATTAAATTAGAGTATCAAAATTAAGATTTTTCTTGGCAATCTGTTTGTACATTCACTAAAAGTCAATATATCATGTCCTAAGGGTTATGTACAATATGAGTATATATATTTACGTGAAGGGAAAAATGAGTGAAAAACTGTTGAATAAATGAAAAAATTGTATTGATTGCTCACAATAAATACAAAGTACGACTCCATTCTTCAATTACATTGATGTGCAATGAAATCCAATAAATCAGCAATTGAGCGATATGTAAATGTTAAGGAATAAATAACTTCTGGTCCTTTCATTTCAGGATATGTAAGGAGCAATGTAAGTTCAATGCTCCCTCCGGTCGATTTCAACTCGGAAAGCTACAAAAGGAAATGAATTTTAATATGAAATGCATTATGTAAATGTCAATATTTGAAGAGCTTGAACGGAAACACAACGCGAATTTATGCATAAACATAAAATTACTAACACTAAAAAATAAATTATTTTCTATATTACGAGTACTTCAGATATACCATACAGAGTATATGCAGAGTTTTTGGAATTGGAGTCATAAATTATTGGCATCTGTGCCGCATGAGTGCACGTTCGAGACTTTAATTTACTGCATCCATGAAGGCAAACAGAGTGTTGTGTGTCGTGTAACGTGTGCCAGTCGTGTCAATAATACCAATAAAATAATTTTTTTATATAAGCCATTAACATGACGTATACGTATCATTTTTATGCTTAATACGCCCCTCACATTACCAAGTCACCTTGTACCGCACCACTCCATTTATATGTGTAGTAGCGCTCGTTTGTGCATTTATTACTAACAATTTTTTCTATATAATTTCTACACCATTCTCCACCAGTCTTTTGATAGCTCTCGAAAAATTATCGAAACGAATATATATTTTTCGATTTTTTTCGATTTTTTTTCGATTTTTTTTCGATTTTTGCCGATTTTATCGATATTTTTTTTCAGTATTGTGGCATTTGCTTTTATCGCAATTTCAGTTCAACTCGGAAAATATAAAACAAACCGAAAGGACATGCAAAACCATATTTTTTATGCTTTTTCTGTTCGTCCTTCCTGTAAAATTGCAACATAAGTGCTGGGCGTGACGTGGAACTGTGTAAGCGACGCGTTATTGCATTTGGGTTGCGGCACAAAAGCTGATTGCAGACGCGATGGTGGAGGCGTTTCAATTGCTTGTTCCGCTCCTCTTTACAACGCTAAGGACTTCTTTGTTTTTGTTTCTGTATCTATGTGTATCCATGTATGTATGTGTGCGAAAGTGATTTCATGCATTGTATTTAAATCTATAAAAATTCAGTTCAAATATTTAACAAAAGCAATAAATTTTGAAAGTATTTCTGCTCCTTTTTTGCAATATATTTTAAATATTTACCGAAATCTACTGAGATTTATTAGAACCAGCCGTGAAATGAACAACACATTTATTTACTTAATGTTGTAAATATATTTAATAAAACGAATTATGTATCATAAATTCAAGTATTTATAAATTCGCATAAAAACATTTAATATGTTTTCACTTTCGAAAATGGAGAAGGATAAGAGGATAGAAAAATAAATTACTTTATTCACAAATAAAATACTGTAACTTCTACTATGTTTACTTTAATACATCAGTTCTTTAAATATTTACACATTTTGTATTCATGTAACTATTTATCCTAGTTTTTAATTCTTCTATGTACATTTCCATTTGTTAAATAAATAATTACGGTACATAACTATAAACGCTCTTTAGCTCTTATAACTCCGAATGACGAAGTAAATATGGCTAGCACATATATACGAGGACGGTTTGAGAAGTCAGTGGCTTTTTGATTAAAAAAAAAATTTTTTTCGGCAAGTAAACATTTTATTTTTCTACATAATCACCTTTTAGCTCGATACATTTAGTCCAGCGTTTTTCTAATATTCTTATTCCCTCCAAATAATAGGTTTCTCAAAGCTCTCAAAATACGCGTTTGTTTCGGTAATGACTTCTTTATTCGACTCGAATCTCTTACCGCCCAGCCATTTCTTTAGATTTGGAAATAGAAAATAGTCTCAAGGGACTAAATCTGGAGAATATGCTAGAAGGGGCAGCAGTTCGTATCCCAATTCGTGGATTTTGGGCATCGTGACTAGACAAATGTACACACATGCATTGTCTTGATGGAACAGCACTTTCTTCTTCGCCAAATGCGGCCGTTTTTGCTTCAAATCAACGTCGAATCTATTTAAAAGCTTTAAATAATATTCGCCGGTGATCGTTTTACCTTTCTCGAGGTAATCGATGTGAATGACACCGCTTGCATCCCAAAAAACTGCCGCCTTGACCTTGTTGGCTGACAGACTCTGTTTGGCCTTCTTTGGTTTACGTTCACCCCTAGCAACCCACTGTTTCGATTTTTCCTTGGTCTCTGGCGTGTTGTGATGGATCCATGTTTCGTCCACAGTAACAAAACGGCGCAAAAATTCGTTCGGATTACGGCTGAACATCGCTAAACAGTCTTTTGAAGTGGTCACATGATTGCGCTTATGGTCGAGTGTAAGCAATCGCGGCACCCATCTCGCGGAGAGTTTTTTATGTCCAA